TAAAAAAAATTTACAGACTATTTGTCCGACCAGTTTTGTTATTCATGCAATCTACTTCATCGCAGGCAGAAGAAGCTATGACGTTAAGGGCCATAATACGAAAAGCATAATAACTAAATAAAGCTAAAGAATTACTACACGGCGCAAAATCCCAGAAGACCATCATCTACCTTGTTCTCTATTTTGATGCATCGAGTTTTTATTTACGAGCAGACGTACTTCCATGTATCCAAGTGGCTGTAGCAACAATCCAAATTATCCTCTGTGGTTCAATTCTGATTAAGTTTGTTTTCTAAATTTACGATGAAATAAATTTAATATATATATATATATATATATATATATTTATATTAGTCATATCAGCATATGCTATCACTTTGCTTCAAAACTGATTAAAACACTGCGTTTAAATTTTCACTGAATGAAAATTTTTACAAAGTTGTAGTAGAATAGGAGACGAATTTCAGACCGTACCTTTAAGATAATCTTTGATTCGAAAACTCATATTGTGAGAGAATATCTGTTTAAGGTTCAAATGGATTTAATGATAAAGTAGAGGCAATAATATTAAAAATACTTTCTTTGTAATGAGAAGGAAACTGCGTTTACTATACTTCAAACCTATTTCGTCCTATTATTACTGATTTATACGGCAGATATCTCTCGATGGCGGGGATTCTCACTTTCTCCATAGCATAAATAAACGAAATCTCCAAAGATTGTACACGAATTTAACGAAGGATTGTAAATAAGTGGAGAGTTATCAACCCATTATTGTTGTAAGATACAATGCTTCGGTATTTCCCTTAAGAAACTAAAAAAAATCCAAAAATTCCCTCAGTAAAGAAAGCAAACGTGTTCTTCAAGTTACGAGCACGCATGACTTCAGGGCATAAATATGTGTATGTATGACTTATTCTCCAATGGAAGGAATTGTTTATTTTCAAACAGGAAAGTCTGCCTTTGTTGATAGGGGCACCGCTCTGCTGAACACGCGTCGTGTGTGTGACAGACCGAATGGCGGAAGGCTAATTTTAGCTCGCCCGAACTACTTTACATGCTTGCTTGGGGACTTACATTCACGTGTTCTTCCGTTATCTTTCCGATTAGATTTCACGCCAAAGCTCCAATACCAGCGAAAATACTACCCAACACCGTAAAGCACATTTGTATTTTGTTATTCCTTAAAACGCAGACACTGGTACAGCGATTCGCAAAATTAGCAGCACATGACTAATGTCCGCGTTGTTCTGTGTAATCCTAGGCAGAAGGGGCCATGTGACACGCAAATCTTCATCTCACCCGTCTTAACGAATGGCGCAGTGTTGACCTGTAGTCATAAGGTTCTGACCTCGACCGAACTGATCTCGTTTCAAGATGACTGATTGTCTTCTCAGATATTACGCCGCGCCCTGATGATGGGAGGCAGTAAGAACCTCTGAAACGTCGGTTAATTTCTACGAGACTACATGGTGCAACATCCCAGATGACAGTGACCTTAATACTAGCAGCCGTGAGAACTTTAATTATCACTTCACCTCATTTGGCCCACCGTTTTATCTGTAATTTAAACAGCATCGCCAAACAACCTAAAACGAACGAATATGATATACTAATACATCGCAGGGTGATTAAGTCGAGAAGAATGAGATGGGCTGGGCATGTAGCGCTCATGGATGGGACAAGAGGTGTGCATCGGGTATTGGTTGGGAAACCTGAGGGGAAGAGACCGCTGGGGAGTCCTAGACGTAGATGGGAGGATAATCTCAGGCGGGATCTATGGGAGATAGGAGTTGAAGGAAACTGGATTTTGTTGGCCCAGGACAGGGTCCGGTGGAGGACTTTGGTTAATTCGGTGGAGGACTTTGGTTAATTCGGTGGAGGACTTTGGTTAATTCGGTGGAGGACTTTGGTTAATTCGGTGGAGGACTTTGGTTAATTCGGTGGAGGACTTTGGTTAATTCGGTGGAGGACTTTGGTTAATTCGGTGGAGGACTTTGGTTAATTCGGTGGAGGACTTTGGTTAATTCGGTGGAGGACTTTGGTTAATTCGGTGGAGGACTTTGGTTAATTCGGTGGAGGACTTTGGTTAATTCGGTGGAGGACTTTGGTTAATTCGGTGGAGGACTTTGGTTAATTCGGTGGAGGACTTTGGTTAATTCGGTGGAGGACTTTGGTTAATTCGGTGGAGGACTTTGGTTAATTCGGTGGAGGACTTTGGTTAATTCGGTGGAGGACTTTGGTTAATTCGGTGGAGGACTTTGGTTAATTCGGTGGAGGACTTTGGTTAATTCGGTGGAGGACTTTGGTTAATTCGGTGGAGGACTTTGGTTAATTCGGTGGAGGACTTTGGTTAATTCGGTGGAGGACTTTGGTTAATTCGGTGGAGGACTTTGGTTAATTCGGTGGAGGACTTTGGTTAATTCGGTGGAGGACTTTGGTTAATTCGGTGGAGGACTTTGGTTAATTCGGTGGAGGACTTTGGTTAATTCGGTGGAGGACTTTGGTTAATTCGGTGGAGGACTTTGGTTAATTCGGTGGAGGACTTTGGTTAATTCGGTGGAGGACTTTGGTTAATTCGGTGGAGGACTTTGGTTAATTCGGTGGAGGACTTTGGTTAATTCGGTGGAGGACTTTGGTTAATTCGGTGGAGGACTTTGGTTAATTCGGTGGAGGACTTTGGTTAATTCGGTGGAGGACTTTGGTTAATTCGGTGGAGGACTTTGGTTAATTCGGTGGAGGACTTTGGTTAATTCGGTGGAGGACTTTGGTTAATTCGGTGGAGGACTTTGGTTAATTCGGTGGAGGACTTTGGTTAATTCGGTGGAGGACTTTGGTTAATTCGGTGGAGGACTTTGGTTAATTCGGTGGAGGACTTTGGTTAATTCGGTGGAGGACTTTGGTTAATTCGGTGGAGGACTTTGGTTAATTCGGTGGAGGACTTTGGTTAATTCGGTGGAGGACTTTGGTTAATTCGGTGGAGGACTTTGGTTAATTCGGTGGAGGACTTTGGTTAATTCGGTGGAGGACTTTGGTTAATTCGGTGGAGGACTTTGGTTAATTCGGTGGAGGACTTTGGTTAATTCGGTGGAGGACTTTGGTTAATTCGGTGGAGGACTTTGGTTAATTCGGTGGAGGACTTTGGTTAATTCGGTGGAGGACTTTGGTTAATTCGGTGGAGGACTTTGGTTAATTCGGTGGAGGACTTTGGTTAATTCGGTGGAGGACTTTGGTTAATTCGGTGGAGGACTTTGGTTAATTCGGTGGAGGACTTTGGTTAATTCGGTGGAGGACTTTGGTTAATTCGGTGGAGGACTTTGGTTAATTCGGTGGAGGACTTTGGTTAATTCGGTGGAGGACTTTGGTTAATTCGGTGGAGGACTTTGGTTAATTCGGTGGAGGACTTTGGTTAATTCGGTGGAGGACTTTGGTTAATTCGGTGGAGGACTTTGGTTAATTCGGTGGAGGACTTTGGTTAATTCGGTGGAGGACTTTGGTTAATTCGGTGGAGGACTTTGGTTAATTCGGTGGAGGACTTTGGTTAATTCGGTGGAGGACTTTGGTTAATTCGGTGGAGGACTTTGGTTAATTCGGTGGAGGACTTTGGTTAATTCGGTGGAGGACTTTGGTTAATTCGGTGGAGGACTTTGGTTAATTCGGTGGAGGACTTTGGTTAATTCGGTGGAGGACTTTGGTTAATTCGGTGGAGGACTTTGGTTAATTCGGTGGAGGACTTTGGTTAATTCGGTGATGAACTTTCGGGTTCTGTTAAGCCATCTAGTTAGTTAATACATCGCAAGCAAGATGACACAGAGAGAATAGGTAATAGGATATCCATTTAAACTGCAGGTGCATGGAATTCTTCTTCTGGGACCATGAACATTGATTATGTCCGAGTGACATGACCATAGCATAATAATGGGTCATGTTAAACAATACAGCATCATTTCTCATTTAGCGTACTGACCTGTGGTCAAACAAAAACGCAACTGAACTGCAAAACCTTGCACAGTGGACAAAATGAGCTTTATCTCAGTTTCTGCACTTCTTTGTTACATCTCCAGGATGAATAAATCGCATTTAAAAGTAACAGAAATTCAGTGAATAAACTTAGTTAAATACGCACCAAAAACCTTGGAGTCGCTTGAAGTGGAAACCTTTTGTAACATTTTTACACCTCTGTATACAGACCGTGGTGTTTGAAAATAGTCCGCATACCTCAAATGTCTTTGCAGTTCTATTAATAGCATCGTCACTGGCAACTACGCGATATTTTTTTACTTCTGATTTCACTTGTAGAAAAATACTTCTCGGTACAAATACCGTCATTATCGCCCGCCGAAATTCACTAATAATCTAACGGAAAGCCTTTGGAATCTCTTATATGGAATGATCCACAAATCGAATCCAGAGAACGGTTTCACTCTTCAAAGTCTACCAGGCACAGAAGTTCAAGGTCTGTAAATGCTACTGCACAGTAAAGCCCTTCGCTTTAGAATCGATATTAACATACGATTTAAAACTTTTCTCTTAAAGCAGGATATTAAATCTTGTTGCACACATACTTCTTGGCTTTGGTAATCTGAAATGACTGATAGAAGAGCATCGAACTTGGTTCAGCTTAGTTTGCCCTTAGTATGAGAACGCAGAAATCAATCTTAAATCGTCGAAGTCTACGTATGAAAATGTTAACCCTGTCGTGTTAATTATACAGCTACTGTAAAGTGTCTGTACTATTTCTTTGTGGTTATTTATCTCAGAAATTAATGAATCACGACATATTTGCATCGTTAAATGCATTAACTTATGTGCGCGAATAGTTTTGAAGTGAATCCGACGATGATTATTTGACAATTGCAACACATCGTTTTGAAATGGCATAAGCAACATTCTAAGTAATACGATAATACTTTGCTGCAACAGACACAGTAATCGTTTGTACCAAGTGACAGAGTATTAAAAAAAAAGAGCCGAATATTATAACATTTCGGTGTACTCACTTTTGTGTTTGGAGTGGCCCCTCCATATGGCCTTCAGGAAAGACATGCTGGCTGTCAGAAGTCTGCCGCTGGCACTACGTACGAAGTCTAGCGATTCCGTACAGCATCTGATCTCGCTGAACATCCAGCCAAAGGATCCAGCCTTCCATCTGACAGCGTGTCCCCCACCACCTGCTTTCCACAACGCTGCCAACATAACCATGTTTTGTTTTAATTATTTATTATTTTTATTTTAGACTTATGTTATCTAGCCTACGGTTCACTTGCACCATTTCTAGACGAAAGTTTTAATTAGTTGAAAATTCCAAACAGAAACATCCATTTAAAGTGATTACAACTCGCACCTTATAAGGCAACAGGGGTCACTAAAATAAAATATTAGGTGATTATTACCAATTTTAAAATGACTTTACTGCTAAGACAGAATTTCTTAAGTGTTAGCGTAAATGTTGCATCAAACATGATTTGGAATGAGAGATCATGATCCGATTAGCTCAGAGACAGAACAAAAAGAGTTCTGATAGGAACAAGCAACAAATTGCATTCAATAACAAGACTTAATGGTAGAGCTCGGAGTGATTTGTACTTCACTTTTAATAAGGCGTGGTAGAAAATGAGTTGAGATTTTCTTACACTTCGCTCCAAGCGTGATTGTGACTTTTAATTCTATGGGGATAATCCTTGGACGTTGATAGCATTATTTCCATCATTTGCTTAAGAAAAAATATGTTGCCATCTAATCATGTGGTTGTAAGAAAACTCCAGGATTTCCGCCAAAGAGAAATTAGGGAATCTAAACGAATCAAAGTAAGGAATAGCTTTATGATAACTTATTCCGTGGCTTGTATTTTAACGATGGTGATAAAACGAGTAAAAAAAGACGATATCCAGACATTTCTGGTCTTGTCAGGAATTGTTACTGCTGACTGAAGACATCAGTTCTTGGCTGTTCAGAAAAGTAAATACGATCTATATTAATGACTGACTGGTCTCCTTGGCTCCGCAGTTCTTATTGAACCTTGGCCGCCTCACTCATTCTTTTTCCTTCAATATCTTTTACACCAATGTTAGTAGCTTTCATACATCTAAGACATGTTTTCAAAGGCCCAAGTCCGAGGCCCTTTTTATTGCGAATAGTTGTTAGCTCTCCGCCGTACCTCTGGAATCACACCTTGTGAGCTGCACGCGACTTCTTATTCAATAGTCTATATGCGCTTTCTTTTAGAATTGAGGACAACTATGAAATTATCCGATCTAACCATACTGTATAGTAGCTGGCACTCAAACGTAATAAGTGTAAAACCACCATTCTGGATTCGAAGCCGCCACATCCGGCCTGAGTTCGAGTCTTAGTAAAAGAAAAAAGAAATCTGCTAACTTGCCAGAGGCTTTTCGTGCTCATCTTCGGTTTCTCCCCGCAGTCGCTGCAAAGTACCTTAAAAAGGTTACGACGGGTTTATTCTGCATCTTTACAAACTCAAAGTTCATAATAATCTTGCCATTTCTAATTCACCTTTGTCGTAAGATAGCATTGTTGAGAACCAAATATCAAAGAAGAATGTATTTTCTGAAGAGTGAAAACCACAGGATTCTAAACAACAATGTTACAAGTATGAAAAATCCATAAACTTCTTGTACTAAAAGAAGGGCACCTTCACTTGTTTCGTTTTACTGTGGAGCCACAAGGAGTGGAAATAATGGAAATAGTGGGGATCTAAGGATTGAAAGAAGAGAAAATTGTCTTCAAACATCTCGGCCAAAGATGCTGGGAAAGACAGCTAGTGGGCACAGTGTATGTGTCAGGATAAATGTCTCGAAATGTGACATCTGGTTCTGCATATCAACTGTGAACACTGTAATTCATACAACGTTCTTTTAGGGTTTGACGTAATGGAAACCAACTTCTGACGTAGTTCTTTTTTACATCTGTTCAGTTTTTAAAGCACAGTGGTACTGTACTCACCTACTTTTACATTCAACAACTGAATTTTGCCCATAAAGTGCATTTATGGATTTCCTACGATTCTCACAATATATATTTCCCTAACAGCATCGACCAAAATTTTTTTAATAGAGACCTGTTATGTTTTCTTTGAGGTGAGAACTCAATATTCGTACTTAAAAGAGCAAAAACTTTAGTTACATCAGACATTATTTAAGGTCGAGGGAATGCAACTGGTGACCTATGTCATGTTTCTGACGAAACAGCCGACAACTGGAAGATCAGCAAGCAACGTTCCGACAGCAAGTAGTGGGGAGTAATGTTTCTTATTCCAAGAAAGTGCACGCTCTCACCTGGCTGATGCAATGGAGTTTATAGGCCACACACCACTCCGCAGGCTACAACTACAAGTCTGCTATGTCATTAACTCCGTTCTTACTGGCTGGTGCAATTTGACTTCCAACATACGTCAGAAATACTATCAGCTGCAGTGAAAACCTTTCCTACTGTTAACATTCGCCAACATTCTTAGTCTTTTGAAGAATCTGTCTAATACGATGGAATGTAAACCAGACGCTGAAAACATAAGTCACCGTGCCATACGATTTATCTGTAGACGATTTAATGACACTGTAATGAACAAAAGAATGAGATCACTTGGGAGACCCAGGCATAGGTTCCGAGGTTAATATTAAAATGGACCTTAGATACATAAGATATAATGGTGCAGATCGGATAAGAATAAAATCCGAGGGTAAACTTAAGTGAATAAGGTGGCAAAACTTCGAGTTCCGGAAAAGAACGATTTTTTCTAGTTGCTGGTTAACTATCAGCTTTTCAAGTTCTGTGTCATGAGTAACATAATCTAGTCTGATGATATTATTCATGGCAAGAAAGCAGAAGGTAGGCTAATAGCGAGGTAACTTCACTTCTAGTGGTATAAGTATCTGTCAGTCAGTTCCAAATTTACTGAGGGAAAAAGATCTTCCTCTTTCTCCTTGTATTGGTTCTACAGTTCTTGAAGGACCTTGGCCGCCTCACATATGGGAGCTTTCTTAATCTATTTAGACATTTGGTACGACTACCTGGATGAGTGATCAGGCCGTCGCTAGGCCTCTACTAGCACAGGACCACACAACACAGAAAAACGCTGACAAACATCCATGCCTTGAGTGGGATTCGAACCCATGGTCCCAGTTTCCAAGCGATCAAGGTCAGGTCCTAGACCGCAAGGCCACTGTGAAGGTCAAGGACTGTCCTAATAAAATAAGGACCGAAGTTTAACCACATGCTTTAATGGTCATGGACCAAACGTGAGTGGAAGTCGTTATCCGTTTCCTGCATCCCAAAACACCATAATTATCATCCGATATCTAGTGTAACCAAAGGTTTCAGATTCAGTTTCTAAAATAAGTCTCTGTTAAAAATATTCTAAAGAGTACTTGGCCAGAAGTATCAGAAAAGGAACACAGTATTCTAAGCTAAGATATTACTAATGTACTGCCATCAGCTGAGTTGCACTACGTAGAGACAGAATATAAATAGATAACACTGTTTGTCAACATGCAGTCAATACTTTATGACGTAAAGAACTGTAGTGTAACTGATAGCAATTTTGTCATGAAAATTGTATGGAGATATGTTACAAATGTGCTGATTTAATACGTATTGATCCTGCAGAACACGCCTCCCATAGACCTAACACACGGTTACCATGGATGTACTCAGTAACACTGAACGAATATAAATGTCTAGACCCACTAGAAAATGTAATTCTCATAAACAAATTTTTGTGGCAAATTTTCAACTCCGGGACTTATAAGCCAAATTAGCAACTGAAGCTGGGCCCTTTCCCGTTTTAAGCACTTATTTTTAAACATACAAACGCACATTTCTCTAATTGGCTATTGAAGAAGGCGTATTAATGACATGTAACGGAAAATTTCTTGCAAACAAGGGATTATGAAATGCTAAAATTCAATTTTTTTGTTTTCTATTTTGCCAGCGATAAGGGCACTTGGGCCTGTTAGGAGATTCGAAGTGGTCGGACAATCTTATATCCGCTCTTTCAATTTCCTTTATATTTCTGAATTTATGATAAAATGATATCTTTGATATTAGCGTATTATCATGCTTTCCAAACAGTTTCCGCACTGTAATATGCATTTTTCAGCATCTCTTACAATATTGCGTTCTCCTTCATTAAGTAAATAAATGACATCTTTTTGAGGCAACAACACGTTTTCTTAGGATTTTAATTTCTATGCACTTTTTTCCAAAATAAATTCAATGCATCTTTAAAACCTAAAAACAAGTACGTAAATGATGTTTTCTTGCTTTATTCAAAGACGTTTTATTAATTACATTTTATTGCATCAGCTAGATGGATTATCGCGAATAATGCATGTAAAAGACGGGAAAATGGACTGTCTTAAGATAGCATCTCAGCAACTGCGAGAAGTGGGAGGAGAGAAACTTCCGCCTGACCGGGCCGTAATTCAGAGCCGAGATCTCTCCAATAGGGAGTGGGACTGCTAACAACTACGCAGAAATTTGTTTCTAATATGGATGCAAACTTCTAAAAGTCTTCGTTACTTCTTAAAAGAACATGTCTGGCATATTTCCAATTAAGACCTTCGAACTACTGGCAAGCTAAGTCTTGTCCTCACACATTTCTACTTGTCACATTGATAAGACACATCATTCCAATCGCTCAAGAAAAAATAAACATCTGTATGATCCTGGAATGGAAAATTCCTTAATTATAGAACTTCGATTTACTGGTACCTCGATGTTCTTCTGTTCGACCGACGTGAGTACTTGTAACGATAATTCACATGTTTCATGAAGGCCAATAAAAGTAAAAATTTCACTGACATCAAAACAAAGGAAACGCCTAAAGTCCCGAAATGCAAAAACCGGGCAAGGAAGTCAACACATTCACATATTGACATATAGAGAGATTTCTGCCTAATTTAGATCCGAATCGTAGTATAACGTTCGACGTACAAAAAGGAAATGTCTCATTATGGCTGACGTTCTAAATTGCAAGTGGAACAACGCCTATAGTAAATTAATTCACAGATTTTGGAACCGGTCTTAAAGAGACATAGAAAGTAACTGGTTCTCTTCTTATTTTTATTTGTTTATTTTTTGTAAAATCGCTTTAAGTAAAACATGTAGGGTTAAATTAAAGATGCTATAAACACATCGATAATGTATACCATTAATAGGGTTTCTAGTGAGATTAACCAGAGCTAACACAGTTAGCGATTTAAACTCTACGAAATGTATAGTAGGCCTAATGTCAGTACAAAACTTACAACAAGTACGTGATCTGAGGTCAGCAGAATGTTTAATAATATCAACACAAAACTTTGATTCGAGTTCGTAATTTCATGAAAATGGTTAGTTGCTGCCATTTTATGCTTACTACTCTAAACGACGCACGAAGAAGTAATAATGGAGTTACTCTGACGTCAGTTCACTTGGTTCAAGGTTTCTTGCGAAAATCTTAGATGAGATGACGATTGTTCTGAAGTGAGGTCAATTCACATACGTCTCATAGAAGATGTGTAAAAAAAAGCATTTTTATTATTATCGTTCCTAAGAGGTGAATAGTTTATCACCAGGACAACACTAGTAACATAACAGAGCCCCTCCTTCCCCTACTACTACTACTATTACTATCACTCCCCCCTCCAGCTGTACACAGTTCTCGGAGAATTTAGGCCGTCTCTTAATGGGGGGGTTTCGAAACTATTTCTAGACATAAGGTCTACTACTACTACTACTACGATTTCTACCTACCAATGTAGTAAAAACTAATTTTAAAGCTTTGGGGTGTCAAAAGACAAGTAGGATTTGCAATATTCAAGCCCTGAATATTCTTGTTATTTTCCTTTTTATGCGTGTGTGTAAAATGTATTCGTGTAGTTCCAGTTTCGTGGTTAAATGTAGGCTTACCCACTCATGTTTCTGCAATTAATAGTACAGAAACACAAAACTCCGAACGATCACTTGTCACATCGATCAGGCGCACATTGCAGAAAGTTTAGCGCGGGACAATTATTCTTTCGTATCACATAAACGAGATATTATTACAGAGTACCTGAATGTAACAGATTACAACTCTGAGTAACACGCTCACAGACGGTACTCACCGATAGTCTTTAATTATAACCTTTCCTATTAAACCGAATTCACCAAATAAAAAGATTCACTGCCAATTTTGTAACTGCTAGCGGCCTGCACCGTTCACATGTGAATAAAAAGGCTTTATAAGATAAAAACGTCGCGGCATATCTCATAGCTGATAAAACACATACTGTACACTATCACTGTGTATCAATTACAGACTTAAGTGTGTTTGAGAAGTCTTTAATGAAACTGTTCGCACAGTAAGAACTCAAAGCTGCTGATTCATAAATAACTGAACGTCGTTGTACAATTATCTACATTGATTCGGTTTATGAACTACTGAAATACTGGTGTGAGGAAATATACGTCAGTGTTAAGTTTCCGTATAAAGTGAAGCCGAGTTTACCAAACAGATGCCTATCGACACGACGTCGACAACAGGGGTCGAACGTCGCGACGCCTATCGTCAAGAAGTTGACATAACATACTAAATACAGGAATGAGTTTCGGGATGCCATACAATACGAAAATGGCAAACCGACTCCACGCGACGCGACACCGACACTAGATTCCGAAACAAAGAGAAACATAGGAACGCCATACCATAAGACGCTGGTACCTCAACGAGTGACGCGTGATAGTTGTCAACATTTCTTTTTTTCATTCTAACCCAACGCAACACAAACTAACCTAATCGAACATGATCTAAACCCAATTCGTCACCAGCTATGTTGAGGAAGACGAATTGGTATCTTCTAACCTCGTTAATTTTATTAACCAAACATTTATGGTGAAAAACACAAATTATGAAGATACTTATTTGTAATTTAAACAGCGTTCCTATTATTTTTTTTTAGGCCCAAATATGTTCATCAGCACCACGTTCATGAACACCCTCAATCTATGTTCATCCCTTAGGGTGAGATATTTCACACCCACACAAAACACCACGTCAACAACCACTAATAAGAATCCTGTAAGTTTTTGAACAATTTTTTTAAGGAACTGCACATAAATACAGGGAAGTGAAAAGGGCATCAGAAAAACTTGGCAGTTATGGAATCAGGAAATACTTTGCTTTATTTCTGATGAGATGTTATAACACTGCCATTAAAAGAGTACACAATGCATGCACACGTTTACAATCTACCCCTGAAGAAGCCAATGCACTTCATTGTTGAAGCCACAGACACACCACAAACTGAAAGCTCACAGCCCAGAGCTGTCAATGTATATACTTGCTTTCAGTTTCAGCACCAAGACACTATAAATCTCAATCAACAGCAACACAATTCCAAGGTGAAAGGTATTTCTGTAATAGTTTTTCCTAATTTAAACCAAGATTGGCAATCAAAACACGAACTTAATATTTTGAAATATCACATTTTGGTTCATATACCAACTGCACCACCCTTCACCAAGCAAAAGATTAAATGACACAATCGTAATTTTTTATATGTGAAATGTCATTTGGACTTGGATGTACTATGTACATAAAATGTTAATTTTTAAAAGAAAATATATTAATAATATTTCAAGCATAATATAAGGTGAGTTTCATAATTACTTCCTTTACTATAAAAGAAAGTTTAGTCACACAAGTTAAATTTATTTCGGTCATCCATGGATATATCTGAAACGTGATAACAAATTTCTAAAGAAATAAATAAATCAATCAAATTATCTGAGATGGAAATATCAATAGCATGAATGTGCTGGAAAAACAAAATAAAAAAATGTAATTGGGGGAAAAAAATTATTCCGAAGAAAAAGTACAGAAGCAATAACATAAACAAGAGAGTATCTCGAAATAAGCATTTCAAAGTGTGAAAAATATCTGATCCAGCAATTATTATTCGTAAACTGTGACTTGCGACACAGAACTAGTACAGTAACAGAGTTTCGTTTCGGAAAAAATTTTGACCTCTATCAGGGCGTATCACTGGTTAATTTAATGACATAATGGGACACTTATTAGCACGCTAGTGCATTAACATGGAAATTATGTATCATAATGAAACTACCTGTTTCAACATGATGTTAACTTAAACACAGAACTATCCAACCACAGAATTAAGTTTGATATTCATGCTGTGATGTCCTCAACAGATTAGTGGAACTGTCACACATAGAAAGACAGAGGAAAACCAGAATATTCCACAGACACAGCGACTCTCTTCCCCTATATAAACGACATTTCTTGCACTTCGGAAAATTATCAATATTATTTCCCATGTTTTCTCTATTACTTCGTAAATGATGTGAGATGGGTGACTGGTAAAATGATTTTTATCTGAAGTTCCTTCCTAGTCTTGATCCTGAAATATTTATTAAATCAATTTCATTTCAAATTTGTCTACAATGGGATTATAGTTTTCACAAGACCATACTAAAAAAATTGTTTCTAACACATACTTACTCAAACTCAAATATTATTAGCGCTATGAACTTCTTTCGAGCACAGAAGTTCGAAGTTTATTTTTTAATTATGTAAGATTTGAGGTTTTCACAGCAGTGAGTATGAAGATTCCTGTCTTCTGGGTTGTTGCTACTACACAGCGCAACAACCCAGAAGACAGGAATCTTATTTTTTATTCTTATAAAGCCCCTTTTATGATTCACATTTCGAAACTGCATGTGCGATGGAATTCAGAGTTTACTCACACAATACAGTTTGTTCTACACTCACAATATAATAATTTCTATTGATTTAAAACTCTGTTCCTCACTGCAATTGGTGTGACTAAACTGGCATGTATAATAAATAAAGGGACAACTGAAAAGTGAAGGGAAGCTGTAATCACTGCTCAGATATTTATGGATTGTTCCAGTTGATCTGAAAGCCTACAAAAATAAATCTGTTCCATGTAAGATTTGAGGTTTTCACGGTGGTGAGTATGAAGATTTCTGTCTTCTGGGTTGTTGCGCTGTGTAGTCTGGTCGATGAATCGTCCTGATGACGGAGGCAGTATGACCTCTGAAACGTTGGTTAACATTGACCAGACTATACAGCGCAACAACCCAGAAGACAGAAATCTTCAAATCTATTCCAATTTTTTCCAGAAATCCTATTTTAAGTACCAACATTTAACATTTAATAATTTCTGATAAACTTGCACGTTTTTTATGATTAACACCGATGATGAGAGCAGGTGATGCAAATGGGGGGGGGGGAAGTAATAGACAGGAGGGAAATAAACACTGACAAAACTATTAAATCACTAGTTCTGGATGTATGGGAAATGGTCAACTTAGCCTTAGCTATTACAGTAAACTTCATCATTTGCTAGTGTTTATATTTACCAAACTACAGCAGGTGTGGAAACATGGTATATGAAATATATTAAAAGATTACAGAACCATTATTACCTCAATATCAGATGAAATTACATTCCACTAATAAGCATTCTTGACAATGAGTATTATCACAACACGATACAAAAATTTGAGTGGTTAGACTTGAGAATAAAGTTTTATATCTTTTGGAATGCATGGGCACTGGGGAAATATTAGGATGTATATTCTTCTTAAAAACTGCAAAAAAAGAACAGACTTTCTTAAGAAATTGTTTATGCAACTATCTAGACTGCTGATATAACTTTAAGGAATTAAACAACATATCTAAGAGACTCATGCCACAGAATAAACATTTTAGAAACATAACTGGTATATTTATCAACCCATTCCTTCCAATTTTATTTAAAACACTGATAATGGGAGACATTCAAATTGACAATCCACCCCATATTTATACTTTACCCCTGTTAAAAAAAAAAAAAAAAGAATCAGTCCCTCTTCTTACAATGAAAGGAAAGTAATTTCTGAAGATAATCAGGAACTTGTTATCTGACAACTTACCATATAAAACATTTCAGAAACACACACCCAACACAAAATTTAACATGTTCCAAATTATTAATGTGAGAAAAACTGCAGAATGGACTCAAGATACTAACAAAGAAACATTTAAAACAAAACATAGCTCACCAAATCATTAACAGAAGGTGTTACACTCAGACCTACATCTTTACCCTTCCTCATATTGGACCTAGATGACCTTTCCGTATTCTCAGACATCTTCCCAACCACTTTCTTCTGATCGGTTAATATACAATCTTTTGGGTTATTAAAATTAAAATAGACAAATTAAATTTATCTCACTTCCTATAAACATTTTCTACCTTAGCACCAGGCAAAACTAAAATAAATTTTTAGTATGGGGAAAAAAAGAGAGAGAGAGATAGAAGAGACAGGTAACAGTTTTAGTGATATGTGTACTGTTCATACTGTGAATCAAATTTAATTAATATATAAAGTCTTCTCCACTGTCTGCGAAGCACCAACTCCTGCTTTTAAGAGGAGTGAAACATGTGAGCATGGATGTAGTGAACAAGACATGTGACTAAGCACTAAATAATGTGGGAGAAGAGAACTTTCACCGTGCATCATCAATAGTTAACAAAGTGTAGCAATCTTTAGCAAAATTCAATTCAATTTCATATTAAGTTTTTTTAAGTAAATTCCACTCATGTCCCCTATCATGTCCTTATGAAATTCAATAAACTACCTTGAAATGTACGTGTACTTAACATCACAAGAACCAGACATACAAGTTATGCTTCAGATTTTACGGATAAATAGTTTGTACTGAACCAATTAATTAATTAAATTTCATACACTAGTGAAAATTCCTTCTGCACACTATGAATGGCAGAAATTTCATTTTTAAATGAAAAGGATGCTAAATTGTCTGACAGGCATTATGTAATTGTTTCAGCAGATAACTTTTAACTGAACTGATTGTCATAACTAACAATTATTAAAACATGCCCAACTGACAATACAATTCTCTAAAACGAGTGGACAAAAGTTTTAGGATACATTTTAAGCAATATAAGTACACTAACATATGCTTGCTTAAACAGACTAGAATTTAAAAGATCATGAGAACACCTACTTTATACAAAATGTTTTTTTTCTTCAAAATTACAGACATAACACATGCCAAAACCAAATTTCAAAATCACAAGCTTATACTTATCATTTTTGCTATTAACCAAAGCAGATGAAAGAAATCTAGGCACCCATACAAAAAGAAATTAACCAGACTTTGATTCACTACTACGACTTCAGAACTACGTGGAGATGCGATATCCACTGATGAGAAGATCAAATCAACTTCTGCGCATGTGTGTGTGTGTGTTGTGTGGTGCAATTATGCCAGTACCTGTTCTGTCTATCCAAAACTATTTTATTTCTTTTAAATTTAAATTAATAACTGTATGCTCCACAATTAACAATATTATTTGAACACATCAAACTGATTCCTATACTCAAAATTGTAGAATTCCAACAAGGTGGTCAATCCAGTACTCATGGGGATAACCAGCAGAATACATTGCAATTAAAACAGCAGTGTCTTACCGTCATCACCAAGATTAGGTATACTGTGAAGCTGAAAGCAAGTATAACCATCCATAAAATCTAAAACTGACCCAACCCCAACAAATAGTGAGGTCTATTTGTTTCAAATACTGTAACAAAACTAACCTCAAAATTAATTCAGTTTCAGTGAAAATGGCTTTCAGCTCTGTACAGGTTGACTACTTCTATATAGCGTACTGTATTATATAACAAACTTCAGCAGAAAGCACGATTCACAAATCACTAGGTCACACATGTGGTAAATGTTCCATATATACTGTACTCTGCTCTATCATCACAAGAAACAGTTCATATTTCACATGAATTCCAACAAAGTTTACAGATATAAGAAAAAATAAAAATAATATACCTACATTATACAATACATTATCAATATTGTTATACAAATTCCCTGGAAATACTGTGACAAGAAGTCCCGGCACTGTACAATGGAAGTAAATACAACACAGGAGAGTAACACCCTCTAACTAGAATCCAACACACAACATGCCATTCTACAAGAAAAGGGGCCATTGTAAATGCACACTGAACTGTCCATCAAATAATACACTTATCATACACGAACAAACTAACCACGAAAATGAGCATTTTTTCCCCCAATTTGAAAATCAGTTCAAGTATAAGATTGAATTTAACATAAAGCATGATGTTTTTAATACTCTTATCCATACAGATTCTTTTAGACATTTTACAAACCATGGAATTCACATACGGCACAAACTCATGACACTCTTTAAGAGGAACAAAATATTGTGTACAAAGACTGATAAACAAAATGGACCCTTTTCACATAGAGATCATATACTGTACCTTGCACACCAAGCACTTGGCAACTTTTTGTACAGCTGGCATCATTATATTGTTATTATTATAATAATAACTAAATCATATAAATGCTTGCCAACAACAAGACCCTTACATTTACAATAGGCTAGCAAATTCATTGGAAAACTGTATCTGAAGTCCTCATACTTTACGATGTGCAACTTCCCCGCAGGCCAGCAGCAGGCAAGAGGCTCATACATGACAGGACCCAAGACTATGGTTACATGAGGAATAAAAACATATGTACACATGGAAATAGTCAATCCTCAGACCTTTGGTGTTACCCACCCACAATTATACATATTCAATGGATCAAAGATTTAATGAAATATAAAATGGAACTGGGCAGATAATAACTGACAGTGTATCAGGTAACTACAAACCTTACACCATTTACCACACAACAAATTATTTAATTATTTACGATGTCTTTCATTACAAATTTAATTATGTGGCATAACTTTTATATTGTTTCACTTCTCATTCTACTGATCTATACAATAAAATGTGTCTCATTTACGAGCATCAGACAAATGGTTTTGATACTTTTGCTATCATGTTTCAAAAAATGTTTGTATATTGTACTGACAATGCAACATATCAGATAAAGCAAAGAAGACTCAAACTATTTTAGAAAATTATTAAGTTAGTATATATTAAAAAAACAATATGACTGTTTTCGTTTATATTCAATGCACATGTTGTGTTATACGTACACTTCACTATTGATAGAGAACTGCACCAGTCAACTGCACAGATTGCTGGGCGACACGTGGAGACTATATTTTGGGCTTCACACCTCCACTATCACACACTTGAATTCTGATAGCCTCAAAAAATATCCCAGCACATAAAAGCAATCCATTAATCAAAGCCCTAATTCCTTATATAGTTACTTTGTATTGTCTTTTAAAATCTATCACTTCTTTGTTTCAACTTAATTACTCATCCTCCAACCCTGACCTAGGTTAATCACTTCCGCGTGAGGGCAATGGTAAAGCCGAGGGATAACCGCGTTGTCTAGGGGGAACCAAAGTTTCAATGACACTGTCCCTAAATGAATGCTAAAGACTTCCCTATCAACAAATACTATTATAAAATTAAGATCCACAGATGGTTAAGGTGTGATCCAAAGTACAGATAAATAGAAACACCATTGAAGCTATTATAATATATGTTAGGCTTCAGTCAACATCTAATTTCATTACATATCTAATTCTGATTTTTCATGTCACACTATTTTCTGTTGTTCTGTAAGCAGAATCATCTTAGTTTGGAAATATTTTATAGTGGTGTGCTGACCAGTCAAAGCCTTGCTGGATGCTAATGAAGACTGTTCCAAAAGAGTCATGTTACATATTATGTACCCAAATCCCGAACAACTGTTAAAATGTAAAATTTGTTTCACTGTTTCAATTTATTTAAATTACTAAATTCAAGTGTGTGCCGAATGCTAGTTGGCTGCTTTTCACCCTACATCAACCACTACACAAGCACTCACTATTCCTTCCGACCTTACTCACACTCTGCTTCCTGGCTCATTTCCTGGGACTGCCCATCAGTATGACTTGAATGCCCACTGTCAGGGCCCTGATGTCACGCACTCGTCTCCTGTTCACCCCAACCCTCACTATCATATTCACTCTCAGATGCTGAATCTGAATCGGAAAATTCAACAGCCACTCGACGAGCCAAGATGGATGCAACATCATGCAATGCATTCACACGTTCAACTTCCTTCTGTTCATTTTTCTCAACCTTCCTTAGCTTAATTCCTAGAGAATGAAACAAAACATATACTATAAACCATATAACATCAACAAACAATAAAATCACTTTATCACACAGACATTTGTAAAGATTTACATTAAATCATAACCTACCATCACGGATAGCCTTGAGCAGATCACTCCTTGGATCAAAGGCAGGCGCTGGTGGATTGGCCGGTTTATTACGAACAGGATTCTCTGTCTTTGGAGGAGAATGTTTTGGTGGTGATGTGGATATTATCTACAAATGTAAAACAACTTCATCGTGTCAGAGAACAACTACAAATTAAAACGAATAAGAACATAAATTTCACAGAAAACCTAAAAAGAAAAAATAAATTTATCACACATCAAACAATTAAGACATATAATAACATGTCTGATAGAGCAAACATAAATTTGTTCTGAATAAGAATGACAAATTAACATGGGGGTTTAATGGATTGATATCATGATACTTGTAACACTATTTAAATTGTTTACTACAACATGAAAAATATTGTAGATGCTGCTGGGAACAATCAAGGTACATAACCGGCTAATGGGAACAGTGTGTACTCTTAGCTGTGTCTGAAAAAAAAGGACTAAAGAAAATACTTTTATTAAGGTCATTTTGATATAGAATATTTATGTGTAAATAACATAAAAAACATAATAAAAGTTTAAAAGTTTCTGACAATGGTGTGACTCAATGTGTTTGATTATCCTGTAGGACTTTATCAATTATCTAAGACTTTTTTAAGTACAATGCTTTAGAAGTCGGTTCTACCACCACTGCAGACGGATACAAAACCAACTTCTGACATACTGTGGTTTAATAACACTTGGCTGGTTGACAAGCCCAACAAAATAATTATACACACCTAAAAGATGAATCCCTCATTCTCACAATGGCCTTTCAGTAAAACAATACATGCACAAAAAACTTAATGGACTCTTACTACTTTACAATTATAATTTTTGGTAATACTTCTTTATAAACTCTATAATAAATGCTGATATAGGCCTGGCCTATGGGTAAGTAAAGTTTGTGTCCAGACTACTTGTGCTTCAGCTCATCATAACCATGCTGCAGAGGACGCAGGTGACTATTGCTGAGTAAGTACACAGAACTCTACAGACACATCATCAAACCCTCGAGGACATGGCTCCAGGTGATCTCACTGCTTGGGCTCATGAATCAATCCACATTTACAGAGGTATATAAGAAAGAGCATAATCCCAAACCTGAGTAGTCTAGATGCACCTTATGTGTACTTGGTCATTTACAGTGTTCTAA